TCTCGTTCCCTCAGAATAAATACATAAATAAACTTTTAAAAAGCCCCAAATTGGTACCGCAGTTGGCATTGTGCTTGGAGGCGCTAGATTCAACATGGCCGACCGTGGTTCAAGTCCCAGCCCTGGCAACTTGCTTTCTCACTTTCCCTTTCTCTCTGTGTCTCTCTCTGGTTAAATTAAAAATAATAATAATAATTACAACTGGAAATAAACAAAGAAATTTAAAAAGCTGTCATCAAAAAAACAAAGTCTCAAATCAAAACTCACCGAGGGGGTAGCTGGTAGTGTGGTGGTTTAGGTGCTGGACTCCCATATGGCTGACTACGGTTTTAATCCTGGACCTGGCGGCTTGCTTTCTCACTTTCTCTCTCTCTCTGTATCTGTTTCTCTCTGGTCAAACAAAAAAAAAATAAAATCTCACCAAGATATTTTTACTGAGTGCTCTAAAGAACTTAAAGAGGGAATTTGGATAGACAGAATGGGAGGGCTATAAGGAGGAAGGACTGTGTTAAGTAGGAAATTTGGTGCAAGTGTTATGGAGAGGGGACAGTTGAACGGAACCCAAACATGAGGTCTAAAGAAGGATGTGGGGGAGAACATTGCAGGTGGGGGCCCACCTGTGCAAGGTCCCGAGATGGGGATGGACTGAGTGAGAAGGGGTAAGAGGAAGGAGGCCTGTGAGGCTGGATCCTAGTGTTGAGGCTGGGCGAGATGGGCCGGCCGTGTAGGCTCCGTGTCCCACACCCCTACTCTGTGAGCTCTTCTGAAGAGTCAACACCAGTACTAGAGTCCAGCTTCCCCAGACATATGTGCCATTGTCAGATGCAAGATGAGCCCGTGGCTGGGTTCCAGCTCATTTCACCTTTTTTTTTTTACACATTTAATTCATCCTTGCTGGCCTTCCTGATTCCCAAAGGAGGACCCAGCTGCCAATCCCCTCTTTATTCTATTCTCTCTCTGGGTTCCTCCATCTGCTTTGGACCAGGGTCAGAACTGCCATCTTCAACCCTGCCAAATAAAGCCCTATGTCTTGTTTAACCAAACTGGCACTCAGACCCCAGACCTTCAGATCAAGGACAAGTTGGTACTTAGGGGCGACCGTGTTGTGGAGGAAAAGAGAATCGGCCATGTTGCATTTGAAGGAAAACTCCAGGTGAAGGGTGTGTAAGGACAGTCATGGTGGTGCCCTCCACCGATGGAGCCAGAGTGGAGACAACCAAGCCGTCCATCCGCAGAGGCTGGCGGCGAGTTTTTAGTCTCTTAATATAATGGAACAGTAAGCAGCCTTTAACCTATGGAGGGACCAGCTAGTCATGTGGTAGTTAAGGCAGCTGGACCCCACATGGCCAACTGCACGATTCGAGTCCTAGATTCAGCAGCTTAGAAAATAACACCAGGCGTGTGTGCATAGTACCAAAAATTCTGAGAGGAGACAGGAGGAGATGGGATTGGGGTACA